AAAGTAAAACTCGCCTAAATGGCTCTAAACCACCTCCAGGAACCCAGAGACATCAAAATAACGCAATGCAAACACAAGGTAAGCCATTTTATTCAAATTCTTTTCTACACGTAGCATTTAGAGTAATTTTCGAAGCATTCTCATACGTTGTCTTATAAACGGCTAAAATTGTAACGCAATCGCCAACAGAATAATGTCACGTATTAATCGTATTCAACGTCTGGACCGCCTGTGGTCAGGCGTGATTAGTTTGAATTTAAATCTACAACAGTCAGGAAAGAACTGCACCATGTAGTCAGTGATTTAAAAATATACTTCCTTTTTCAAACTGTTAAATGATATATCTATAAGACTTAATTTTTTTTATTTTTCATTAGACGATAGAATAAACGAAACTTTTAACGAGCTTGTAAAGTGGGTAGACGTGTCAGATTCAAAGGTAGGTCTGCCGGAAAATGTTCTGTTAACGTAAAATCCAGATGTTAAACCAAGCTTCAACAACAGCCTGAACATGCATGCTTGATTGGAGTAACTGATCAATTATTTTTTCTACAACTGCAGAAATTCTCGCGCGCTCATTAGCTAATTTTCATTGTCACTAAGCGGACAGACCCATGAATTTATAATTTATGCCTTTTTGTTATTGTAAAAAAACAAATTGACGTCAGTTTTTCATGCGTCTGTCCTGTTATTGACTTTGAATTTCGTCATAACATTGTCAAAGGAGTCTGTGGATGCATAGCTACTCTGACAATGTTATGACGAAATTCATGATCAACTGACGTCAATTTGTTAATTAGTAGATGATGATTGAATTTCTAAATCTTACACGCTATTGAGACTCCAAGAGTTATCTCCCAATCTTCTTTCTCTTGGTTTCGGCATAAGTAGGAAAGACATTTTTAATCAATTACAAAAAAAGCTAAAAGACTATCCTCAAGTCTAGATACTGATTATCGTCTAGCTTGGTCTTTATTCAAGTCGTTATTGATTTTTTTCTGAGTGACATTATTACCCTTGTTTTAAGATTTTGCCGTTTTACATTCGCCGCGCCGAGGCATTGAAGCTATACGGCCTGGCTTTGAAGTCCTCCATGAAGCAGAATGGAGATGGCACACCACACAGGGCAAATGATGACAAAAATATCGAGGTAAGCTAGCTATGTCGGGAATAATTTGACGTAAAATAAGACGTAAAATTGTCCAATGAAGGCGTAAGTGTTTTATTGACTGGTGGGGTGCAAAGCCAGTGAATAACCGTGATAAGGCCGCGTTACCCGCGCTTACCACCATTTTCCCGCGCTTACCACTGGTCACGTGTTTTCCCGCGCATCCCACCTGTTCCACATTTTCCCGCGCTTGTCACCGGCAAGTGAATATGTTCAGTTCCTGCGCTTGGGTTTGATTGGTGATTTTGTTCTTGCTTTTGGCTTGACCCGTTGTAGGCGCCTTCTTTTACGGAGTTTTTTTGATTGGAACAGATTTACTTGATTCACTCAGTACTGCTATTAGTCTCCAATTAAACTGTTAAGATGGCGAGACTTCATCTCGCGTCGATTTCCTTTGCGTGGCGAAACCCTACATTAGAGACTACTATCACCAATGACTGAACATTTTCTGTTGTTATTTTTTTTAGCTATTCGAGAAGCTTGGCTGGGAACATTGTGCACGCTCGAGCAGAGAAAGCCTTCTGGTCAAGTATCCTACCAAGTACCAGCCGTTTTGATGTACAATTCTTATCAGACGACTTGACATGTTTTCAATTTGATAGGTGTGAATTACATGCACGCGGGCACGTGCAGCACGCATAGAAACTCACGTACGCTTTTGCAAACCGCACCTGGCTCCTACCTCGACGGTAGCGCCAGCGCTGTCGTCAGTTGTACTGCTTGGGTGGGATACTGGTGGCCGTGTAGATTACCGGAGGTATCGGCATGCCGGCAAACTTCAATAGAGTTCAACTTCGCAGGCATGCTTGAGGTCTTCGTGGCATGCTGGCGGAAGACATTTTCAGTGCGAAATGCTTGGGCAATTGCTGGTGACAATCGCAGAGCCACCCGTGGGTGGCATATCAAAATTAGGCTTAATTAAGCCCGGTTTTCACTGCGTCATAAACACAAGCATAACAATTACGGTAGTGAGGACGTCCACAACACAAACATAACCAGGCAGGCATGCGCGGAATGGATAATTACCTTATTTTCAGTTCCATACCTCCGCGATACAATGAAACAAGATGGCGTACGCACGCTTATGCTCATGTTTACGGTAGTGCGTTTTCACTTGACATAAGCATAAGCACAAGAAGAACAAAAAGTTTTGTTCTGCTTGTGCTTATGCTTGTGTTGTATGCTTCCTAACTACCGTGTGCTTACGCTTGTTGCTAGTGTTATGGGTGTCCTCACCACCGTGTTGCTTATGCTTCTAGCTTGTGCTTATGTTGTAGTGAGAACCAGGCCTTACCCTCAACGAGGAACTCAAATATTTTCTATTCATAAGCTCCTTTGTAAGATAAGTTCAAATTACGCCTATCGTAGAAAGCAATTGTGATCTTAATTGGCACTGAAAAAGTTTTTCTTTATCGTTTTGTTATGTTAAGTCTTATACTTCCTCTCAGAGAGTTACACTATGTTTGAACTATACAGTAGTGCTATAGTAACAAACATTTACTAATTCTCTCAACTGTCGTATTTGCAGGATAGGCTAGTATTGTCAGACTTTTTAATGTGTGGTATCTTTGAATTTTATTCACTAGTTACAGTGGAGATGGTTTGTTTATTAAAATAAAGCTATACACTTCTGGCTGCTGGGATTTAATCTCTGAAAGCGTTTGAATCCAGCGTTGAGAGCATCTTATGCACGTGGTACGACTTTTTGGTGTCAAACAGACAGACAGATAGACAGACAGTCAGACAGGCAGACAGACAGATAGACAGACAGACAGACATAGAGATAGCATTACGTGTGGCTAAAGTATGGTGCGGCCAAGTGTAGTGGAAAGCTTTGCACATAAAAGAGTGAGTGAAGTTCTTGCGGACCTGTGCATCAATTTGCGCGTTACGTTACATTTTTTTTTTTTTTGCGGCACTAAGCCACCATTTCCACATACTCGTCTCTTCCAAGCAAATGCCTTATCGTGGCTGCTGGTAATTTTAAGACCTACGTTATTTGAATTGCCAGTCTTTTCTGTTTAATTTATCCTCCCCGTATGCTGTTATTCTCTCGATTCACTGTTAACCCGTAAGTCTCGACTGATCAAAATGAAATTTATCCTGGTAATATCAGTTCATACTCCATCGCACGGGTCTTGAATTTAGCAAATGATCGCAATTGAACCCTGATAATTAACTCAATTCTCCAAACTAGTACTATAAGAAATGTAAGCAGTACTGTAGGAAGAATTCTTATGTCCACATCCGGCTTATGCACGCAATAAGAATAGAAAACTGATCATCACCTAGGTGTTACCGGTAATGTCTGGAAAGATGCATAAAAAATATCATTAACACAAATTTACGATTATCGGCAAAGTTATTGAGCTAAGACTTAATTTTTGCCCCATGGTTAGATACCTACTTCAGTTTTCCGACCCCTTCCCCCACCTCCTCCACCCGGTGGCCCGCGTCTCCGACGAAATTTCATGGAAAATAGTATACGGCAAATATATTTGCAGACGCTTTGCCTACACTTTAGAGCAGTGCAAAGGCAGTGCATACTGTTGTGTTTACAGATGAATATTATTATGCATGCAACTGGCAAAGGGCTGGTGTGTCAATATTTGCTTGGCAGAAACGATCATGCTGCAAATGCGAAACGTTTCGGTTACGGATAAAACTCTTAACAAGCTGGGAAATCACCACGGTTCTGTTAAGTTTCCTATTTTCTTTAACGACGAATTCAAATAATACATCGAGTTGTGTTTCAAAGTACAGCTCTTGCCGTACATTTCGGCTACCTACCTTCTAGTAATTACCATTTATAACTTACGCTTTTGTGAGCAGGCACCAGAGCGCGAAAAGTTAAAAATATTAGCTCTGTCTCTCTGACGAATTACCATCACAATACATGTTTTAGGATATCTTTATGTTTATTTAATCTAGATCTAGCGAGTTCCTTTCTCAGGTTCTAATCGAGAAGTTGTGTTCGTCACTCTTCAACGTAATATTTTTTGGTCACCTTTAGTGCTTGCCCCTCTTTATATGTAACTTTTAATAGAAAAAGTCATAATTGCACGCGCTTTAAGATCTGGGACGTGGAAAACTTCAAAAGGTGGATTTTCACAATAATGCTAAATTATTCAAGAAAAGCTAGTTTAGCAAGGTAAAGGTTATTCAAGTGTGTAGCCGCAAATATTGCACAAATTTCATTTTTAGTGGAATCAATGTATTCGCAGCTCGCGCATGGAAGAGCATGCATTTGAGCATAAAAAAGAAACTATAAACGTTTTCTCCGAGAGAAGGACGAATTGTGTTATTAGAAGCTATTAGAGTAGAACATATTTTTCTGGTCACTCCTATGTTGAGGTCTTGAAATTATTACTATTAAAAAAAAAATCGTACTACAGTCAAAAGACTACTGACGAAAGAGAAAACCTGTGCTGCGGTTTTTCCTGAACAAAAATTGACTCCGATATTGTCAATTACTGCTCTCCGGCATAGCAGATAACTAGTTTATTTATCCCCCTGAGTATCAATAGACTTAGAAAGCGTATAATGAGATGCAATTTGAAAGAAAGATTAGCTGATTTTCTGTATTTTGTATTCAATGCTTGAGTGCGTTTTTTTACAAATTTAAAAACGGGCGGCATTGTCTTTGTAAAGGGCGCTGACGAAAGATGAAAATCTTGTTCAAACTGCGGTGGATTCTCCACGTAAAGTGAAAGCTGAAGTGAAATTTCAGGGACATTTTCCCTCCATAACTCAACTGACCAATCATAATCAGCCGAGATTTTCCCGCGAACGAGGCAGCGAAGAAATGCCCGGAATGTTGCTTTTGCGCAGTGCTTAACTATTAGCCACGTGGTTAATGATAAGCCAATCAGAGCGCAAAATTAAACCCCACCGCGAAGATCGTTTGTCAGGGCCTGAAGTCGGTGCAAAAACATGTCCGCTCGATCGAGGAATTAAGAAACTAGAACCTAATTTCTCTTACAGTAACCCTCAAATATGCCTCATCAACCAATGCTGCACTAGATCTAACATTTCCGAGTACTTCTATAACGATCGCGTTGAAATCAAACCGTTTCCCTGCTGGCGATTTCGACAAGTTTCTGTCGCATTCTACGCTTGAGGCTCTGCGCAAACTTTGGTACACGAATCACCCATGCGATCGGTTGGAGCTACAGTGAGAGTATTAACTTCGCTTTAGATTATACTGATGTCGAATCCAACTGCTACACTCACAAGCTTGTGGATCGAAGGTCAGTGGTATCCGATTTTCGTTTTATACACGTGTTTGTTTTCCGTTTGTGTGTTAACATGAAATGAGCTGTATGCGTTTTTCTTTATACAAGCGAGGTTTACATTTCTCTTACGCCAGCACTTGTGAAAGTGGGGCATTGTTTTCCATCGATTTCGTTCACAGCCTTGCCGCTAAAAGAGACTAGGTTCGTGTAGAGTGTATTAGCTTGACGTGTTCTTTGGAGACACGCTTTCCTTTCTCCTAAGAAGTTAGCAATTCAATTTACAAGTGAAGGCTGCTAAATATTCAAATCTCTTGTAGGTCAGCCGAGCCCTGTGAAAAGTAACCCCTCTACTCCAGTTAAAGGAGTCGTGAGCCGGGACACCTCCATGGTACAGGAAGACTTTTTAAAGTTTTACAAAGAAAGTGGACTTGATTCATTAGCCCGAGAGGTAAGGATAATCGACCTTACCTCGTGTCGATCTACTTCTCAATATGCGATTGCACTAGTTTATCACTCGAGGAACAGTATAAAGTATATTTAAATTTATCCGCAATAGTTTGTAACATCGCTATTCATAATTCATGATAATATTTTCAAAGTTCTTCATGTAGATGAGACATACTCGTTCTCCGTCGGGCCGCTTGTACTAAGATCGACTGCATGCTATTGAACTTCTGATCAGTTCTTTATTGCGCGAATATCCACTGCTCTCCTTGAAAGAGTTTTATATGTTTCACTAGAAGATTTTTCCAACCCTGTAGCAGCTTTAACACTAAATTCTTCGCCTTTGACTGGCAGGCTGGTGTGATTGACAACAATGGAACCATAGATGGCCTAAAAGATGCCTCCCATTCAAGAGTCAACAGTGAGTTTTCCTTTGCCTGTTTGTTTTTGGATTTGATTTACCCAAATGTTAATCTGTTTCCCTTGAGATGTCTCTGACTTGCATCTATTCATATTCATTTAATCTCCGCTCGCGAGAATTGCTTGAAATCGATAATATCGTTTTCATAGGTCTGATGGAAACTCTAATTGCCCAAAGCCTTTGGACTCTGTTATTGGCTCAACCGAAAATAAGCTTACGGTTTTGAGATTTTCACGCTGTATAAGCTTACGTATTTATTTCCTTGAAGTTGGCCTTGTTTGTTTATTGTTTAACTGAAACTCTTTGGTAGATCGTATCTTTCTTGGAGAAACAGAAATTGACAGAAGATAAACATGCATGTTGGTGGGTGAATACATATCTAGAGAAGAGGGTTTGTGAGAATGACGTACCAGTAATTGGTTTTAAGCCTCACTGCTCTTTTCTACTCTGAGGCACTTCGTCTACAATGCTGTTTTGAAAACTTAAAAAAACCTGTTTTTGTGCTTAATGGGAGCATGGCACCTCTCAATCAAAACTGAAATTTGATGTTTTTTTCTGTCTTGTGATGCATTTCACCCAAGGAGTAGCCATGAACACATGAAAGCATGGCATTTTTCATGTTTTCAGTCGGAAGGCGATTGGTTTTCACAGGTGGGCAAAACTACTTGAACAGAACTTTTTTATAAGAAAAACTTTTTGCCAGGTGGTCAAACCAGGCGGGCAAAATCGTCCTTACAACAATTTGCTTGGTGCTCGGCCCTAAATTCATGAAACCTCTGATTTTAGTTGTCTAACTGATATCATTGCTCCAAAATGGGTTTTCAAGCCCCAGGTTAATCAGAAAAAACTTGCATAGAAAGCAGAATTGTACTTAAAAACATCTACACAGCCTTCTGGGCTTTTAGAATGCATATCACAATAAACCCACACATATTGATTGCATGTAGATCTATATAAGCGGGGCTAAAGAACTGACAGAAAAAAATTTTGTCCCAGCTGAAATGAGTCGGTAAAATTGTGATAATCTTTGTAAATTATTTGATTGCAAACGTGCAATAAGCTATTTTACTTAAACTATAGACATGGACACATTTTCTGAAAAGTCATAATAATGTCTCTTCAATGCGGTTAATTTTGCTGAGGTTGACGTAATTTGATATCCATATGACATCACAGCAATGGAAAATTAGCATTCACTTGAGAAAAGCTCCTACGAATCTCAAGGTGTCAATAAAAGTTGTTTCTGGTGTGCCAGGAGTTTGATTAAATCTCTTAAAATTTTGACATACTCAGCATGTCTTATGGGCAACTGAGAGGCAAAATTCATGATGCACTGAGTACATCATATCTAGACATGAGGTTAAACACAGCCCTTATAAGGGAACTGCAGTTGGATCTCTCTTTGGAACAGCAGAATAAACTGGATGTTACGGAAAGGTGGATGTTGGAAAGAGTTTTTAGTGGGAGCACAGTGTATGAATTGGTGCACTGTTGGGTCCATTGTAGAGAAGGAGCCAGCAGCAGAGGTTTGAATGTGTGAATGTCAGTTGATCCCATTCCCAACAGGAGTGCAGGATGACACGTACTGTTCAAACTGTAGGAGCTTACAGGGGTCTCATATCTTTGGACCTCAGTTGAGATCCCATCTATTTCTGCTGCCCACACCTTGAAATCTTATTCGTAGTTGACGTAAAATAAACTTAACTTCATAGCTACTGGATGCATATAATGGTGATGACAAACTAATGGTAATAAGTAAGCCAGTATCAGTACAACTCAGTCATAAGGTGTGCTCACGAATATCATTTATTTTATCAACAGCTGCAAACAGCCCAACTGTTATACCTGCCACTTCTGCCAAAATGTCACCTGTGATTTTGCCAAAAACAGTGAACACTGCACCTTCACCAATGGTAAGGAATCCAAGTGTCTAGTAAGTCAGATGAGGAGAATAGAGACTTGCACTACACTCTTATTTCAGAGGTAAACGCAAGTATTGTTCCCTGCAATAATTGGGAAGTCACACGTATCTTAGCAGGCCTGTCAAAATGTTTTGTAGTCGCAGACAAGATCACAGCTGAAGTAGTTGGCAGTGAAGGCCAGAACTTGATTATTCTCATAGTAGCTTTCTCCACTCAGAGTTGTACATGTAAATGGTAACCAGCGAATGAAATGCTGGTTGTTCCTGTCCAGTGGTGTGGGTTGGGGGTAGAAATACTCTTAGTTGTAGATCATGCTACAGAAACCAGGGACAAAAACTGACATGATAAGCCACACGGCTTAGTCACAGACTTTATCTTTTACCTTAAAATTTCCTGTACAGAGAAGCTACATTGTACTTACAGATTAAGTAACTTTACTTTTCCAAAGGTGATTGGTTCTCCTGGACCACACCAGGTTATCGCTGTGGGTGGAAGTCCAAGAACCCCAACAATGATTGCTGCACCAATTGTACCAGCTAATGCAGCAGCCTCATGGCCAAGGTGATTGTTTCTATGAAATCAATATAATGTCCATATTCCTTTGTTTTAACTATGCTCAAAATTTCCCTTCTCTTTACTTCTATTACTTTTCATTATGAATTTTTGAATGCTTAATTTCAAGTTTAGCATGCTAATTATTAGTCGACTGTATTTCCCAGAAAGTTTGACCCCGAAAATTCTTTGCTGGTGATGTACATAGCTTTGCACAGATTTGAGTGGGTAAGGTCCCTGATTGGTCATTAATGCCGCAGAAGAATTTCAGAACTGAGTGACTAACAGTCATGGACACAATCATTGACACTGCGAATCTCAGTAATGTGACATCATGAGCACAGAATGATGTTTTTTTTTGGTTCAAATCTTGAACATCAGGCATGCAAGGATGCAACTATCAAGACAGATTTTTCTTTTCTCTTATTAAAAGGTTACTTCCAATACTCTTTCTGTTGGTCAGAAGAATGCAAAAATAAAGAAAAAAACCACATGCTATGCCCTTAGTAATTATGAATTCCTAACAATATTTTGTTGTATTTTTTTTATTGAATTATAGGGTAAACACGACTCCAAATAGTGGGAAGAAAAGAAGGATGGATTGTATGGAAAATGATTTACTAGACAGTGCAGAAAGGTAACTGTTAAACTTTGAAGAAAAATTAATGATTAGTATGCATTTACTCATTTACAGTAACTGTTATTTCTTGCAGGAAGCGAGGCAAAAGACTGCCCAGCGCTGGCCGCTCAGGTGGAGATAAAAGTGGAAAGGGATTGAGGCATTTTTCAATGAAAGTGTGTGAGAAAGTTCAACAGAAGAGAACAACATCATACAATGAGGTAACATGGTCAAATGGATGAATAGATGATAACTGTCTTTTTGTAGGTTTTTTGCCGTTTTTAACTACTTTGAAGCTAATTACCTAGTCTGTCCACAGAGCCTCCATTTTGTCTTGAGTTCATTGAGATCACAAGCTTAGCCAAATATTAACCTGGCATGTGGAATATGAACTAGCTGAAACACAAAGGGGGTTGTGCTGGGGAAAAGACAAAATAGAGGTCTCTAGACTTCTTTTGAGAAACTGAATTCTCTGTTTTTCCAGAAACGGAAAATTCCAATTAGCTTAAAGGCCATTATCATTACAATGTCAATGTCTCATCACATGTGCATTTGGACAGACTACTTATAACTCTGATATCAAGAAAAAGCCAAAGCCCCGTTAACCAGGACCTGTAGGCAGACGCAACCCACCAGCAGACACTCAGTTATGTCATGTAATCCCAGTAGCATGCAGACACTACACCTTTAACATCCCATAAGTGGACTTCGGGCTTAGGGTTTGAATGCATTGCTGAAAGTATTTTACATTGAAGTGGCGAACAATCTTCTTTCAGGTTGCTGATGAGCTCGTACAAGAGTTCAGTGATCCTGACAAACATCTCTCACCAACAGACCAGGTAAGTTTTGATCAAAATCTTTGTTATTGCAGTGTGTGTAGAGATAGTGGTATATAAATGTGCACTGTAAATTATGAGGACTAACTTCCAAGTAGGCTGGTATGAGAAAGGCAGTGCACAAATTAAGCAAAGACAAAATGATGCCAGTGTTCAGCCCATGCACTGTAGAACACTGTCTCATTCTGGTCACAGTGTGCAATGTGGCCTTGATCTTGCAAACAGGATGTATTGCAGTACCTTTGTTAAATTTGCTTAGTGCCATAGGACTTGCCAGATCAGGAGTGTTGTTTAGGAATAGTAGCCAGCCAAAACTGCCAGCTATTTAGCCATCTCTTACCTCATGCTACCAATGCTGAAGATGAACAATCTTACTGCATAAAAATAAGAGAACCGTAGCCAGGACAAAGCATATTAGAAACTTTTACAAAAATGTTCAACATTTGGCTATAGAAAGTTAAAACTTGCACATAACCATAACTATTGCACATAATCCAATTAAACAACATAAATGTATCATCTTTCCCCAAAGAAGCAAGCATTTCTGGTGGAAAATTCTTCTGGAAAATCTCTCGAGCATTGGCATTTCCCACTCCCTGTGGATTTGTGACTCATTGCTTTTGAATTTGTTGCTCACTGATATGACCTCCTATTTCTTGATCAGCCATCTCCATGTACTTTGAAACTTATAATCATATCAATGAAATTAGTGAACAGATGCTCATTGCCTGCTACTGCCGAGATCGGCATAATAGTCCCAGAATGTTTGTGCCACGTAGCTTTGCTGCAAGGCTGTGTTGTTGAAAACTCACTGTTTGAACTCTCAACTAGCTTTTACGTATTGTGTAGCGCAGTCAGTCACGTTAGAGTTGTGTGTATTTTAGGCTTATGACCAGAAAAACATCAGAAGAAGAGTTTATGATGCCCTGAATGTGCTGATGGCCATGAACATCATATCGAAAGAGAAGAAAGAAATCAAGTGGGTGGGACTACCTACAAACTCTGCACAGGAATGCCAACAGTTAGAGGTAGAAATGACTGTGTAGTATGTTGATTTGAGTTCAAAGCTGGGCAAACTTGGACTGTTAAAAGTGTCTCTAACAAAAAATATTTGTTACCTGCAGGAAGAAAAGAAAGAAAGACAAGAAAGAATAAGACAAAAGACCGCTGAGCTTCAGGAACTAATCCTTCAAGTAAGCTAGTGATAATTATCATTAGTATCACCCAACTAGTGGACTAATGCAAATCCTGCATTTTGATTGGCTACGCTATTAGGGGACTATTAGTAATAGTCATAGAGTAGCGAAATTGGCGCCATCGAGCGTGACGCTTTCTTTCGTTTTAATCCCAAATAAATATTTCTTCAAATTGCATTTGCTAACTTTATTAATACCTTTTCTGTCCGACTAGTTGGGAGATACTAAAACAATTAGACCCTACGCCCTCAAGGGCCACGGGTCAATAACCCATTCGGCTTCGCCTCATGGGCTATTGACCCGTAGCCCAAAAGGGCTACGGGTCTAATTGTTAAATATTATTCCACAAGTGGGTGTTAGATATGAGATGATAGATAGCCAACAAGGTGTTTGGTGCCAAGTTGGCTACAATCATCTTATATCTAACAAGAAACTAAAATAGAAGTACAAAAAGCCCCAAAAGTTATGTGTACGCTTACCATGTTTGTAGAGCATGGTATAATTGCATGAATACCAGGATGGCTAAGCCAATGAATCTTGAATTACAGTACATTATCCAATGATCCATTTGTTAATAATTTGTTTGAGGCATCATTTAGTCAGTTGCTGAACTTGCCTCAAAAACAGTGCTTTAGCCTGCGTGTTTGTACTAACACTTCAATCTGTGTTTCTGTTTCAGCAAATAGCTTTCAAGAACCTTGTTCAGCGCAACAAACAGGTGGAAAAGGAACAGGGTTCTCCAGCCCCCAACACAGCTATTCATCTCCCATTTATCATTGTAAACACAAGCAAGAAAACTGTCATTGACTGTAGCATATCTAATGACAAGTAAGTCTTCCACTAATATTCCACATGTACTATGATTTGCAGTTGTTAGTAGTTAATTGTCATTTACCAGTAAGGATGAGACTAAGGAGGAAAGGACAATAGCATGAAACCTGTTTAAGGGTCTAATCTGCATGGCTTATCTTTGAAGACTCTGCTTTGGCACAAGTAGATTTCCATAACCATTATTAATTCTTTGCTGCACCAGGTTTTTAGCCAAGATTTGAAAAGTGGGTGTCCAAAATGTGTAGTTCTGGAAAATATCCATACCTCCCCCATGCAAAGGATTTTTTCTAAGACCCCCTCACCCCCCTGGAAATTCCAATAAAGCTTCACATATTTCTTTTAATATTTTGGTCTTACAGAACCCCCCACCCCCCAGGAAATTCCAATCGCTTCTGTGGCAGGAGTATGGATATTTTCTGGACCTGCACAATGTGCTATTTGGTCTGCTAAACGTGAAAATAAAACAACTTCCTTTAAAAAGTGCGCGTCCACAGTACTCCTGAACACCCACCTGTGCTGTACTCTGATCGTAGTCCTTCTCATTCAGTAAATGGCATTTTGCGAAAATCATATGGAATAGTGGTCCCGATAGTGGTTATGGCATTTGTGGTAGCAGCTGATGACAACGACCATCCCTTCATGTACTGTTTTCATAGAAATACTCTGATAGTAGTCATTCGGCAGTCATAGTTTAAAATGTGTTTGAGCCCTGTGAAACAATCAGTCAAACAAAGATATGTTCTAGAACCTGACTTAACATGTTATAAAGACATCTCTTTGACACCAAAGAGAGTTCATTGAGTTCAGAGGGAAAAATTCCTTCTTAACCCATTGACGCCTGAACGAAATTGCCCGCGACCCACCCCTAATTCCCTGGCGGTTTTTTGGAATATTTCAGAGCGAGCGAAAGCACAGAAATAAACCATATGCGCAGTAACCACAGACACAAGATCAGGTTTCAAGACATCGTTTATTTAAAGTTGAATAATTGAAGGGTCAAAATATTAAAAAA